TTGCATTTCTCACACACATCACCTTGTCTTAATATATTGTCTCCAGAGCTACGTATATGTTAACATACAGTACGTGCAATTTACTTTCCAGTGGCATAACACACTGGTTTTTTTGCTGTCTGACAGAACTGGAATTCAGAATTCCATTAAATACTGCTGGCTGAGAACAACATTTTTAGGTAATAGTGTGGTGTGGAATAAAGGGTGAAGACAAATTCTTGGTCCATGGGTCACACCAAGACTCAAGATTAAAGTGGTCTACTTGAAGCATTAAGACTACTTTCTCCAACAGGAAACCAATATGTAAAGTGTTCAGCTCAAAACTGTTTGCAAAAATATTATTTCTGCTCACATTTAAAAAACACCAAAACATTTCCCAAAGTCAGTATTATGTCATCATATGTATCATGCAGAATACCATATACAACACACACAAAGCAGGAAAGATCAAGGAAACTTTCAAAATCTTTGGTCCCTGCAAGAAATGGTGGCTCTTCAGAACAGTCAACAGGACAACAGTCCTTTGGGGAGCAGAGATGTGGTGAACTGTCAAAGGATCGACGCAGAACACACTACTACATATCACCATAAACCAGGGATAAGTGCATAATGTTTGATGGAAGGCAAAAGAACAGGCATCTAAAGTCCTGTTTATGGCAAAACACTGCTTTTCAAGAAAAAAAACAAACCAAAACACAACTTAAAAGCCCACCTTCTGCCCCATTCCAGTAGTGACATCTTCAGGGATAACCAATTATTTACAATGAAAGGAAACAATACATACGGCTTAATAATGGAGTCATTATTACTATATTTTCCAGTTCTTACAGAAAAAAAAGTAATCTTAAGGATAGCTACCAATTCTGTCATTTCTTCCATGCAATTTTAACCAGATGTCAAATAGCTGTACCTCTTTTGGAATATTTTTTTTAAAAGTCTGAAATCGTGCCAGAATTTGCTTTAAAAACAGTGAGAATAGGCCAGTTAAATTCCTGAACAACACATGAGAACATTTTTAAACCACTGATTTGTAAAGACGATGTAACCTTAACAGTGTTTTTAAACCACTCGTATCCAGACTTGAGAACAATTACAGGATTATAGTCCAATATATTTTTATTAGATCATGGTCATCTTCTCTACTTGTGTTCTGCATTCTGACAAACTTCCGAGGTGGACTTACTCCGCACTGTAACAGCCTTAAAAAGGAGATGTAAAGAATTTGTTGAATTGATGGTAACAAGGCATCTTTCAGTATATCAGTGCTGTCAATACCAATTACTATTTGCAGTATTTAAAAAACCCAGTACTTTTCTTTGATCTTTAAACGGAGATACAAAATTTCTTAACAAGTAGAAAATCCAAGACAAGTATTATGAAAATCAGTGACAACTTTTTTTGAAGAACAAAAGTTTTGCTCATGTGAAAACACCTTACAAAGGTTCATCCTCAAGTTAACTAATGGAAGCTTCCAAGAGCTCCTGCTATTACGAAAGGGCACCATGTCCAGCATTTATGTGCAAGACTACGCTTTACACTCGGCTGCTTCAAAAAAGGTTTCAAATCTAACACTTAAAAAAGGTTAAGACTTAAGCTGATGACGCTCCCAGAGGAAATCAGTACCTGTTTCATTTAGTGCAGTAACCATACCCTTAAAGCTGCTTATAGCTGGAACAGGAAGATAGATCTAACCAGTGCCAAATTAAAACAGCATTTACAGAAGGGAACAGTTCATCGCAATCCAAAAACCCAAAGAAATCCCAGTGTCAATAATGGTAAACCCATAATCTCCACAGCATACAGGTTCACATTCTGACAAGGATGAGATGTTCTTCCCAGTATTTCCAACTTGTCAGTAGTACAAGTCAGTTAGGAAGATTTATAGTGCCCACTTGCTCCATATAAAAATAGTATAGTCTGTTAATTACATCCAGAAGTGGTCATGGATTATATGCAGAACATCTGGCCTAAGGGAATTTGGGCATATCTGTACACTATTTAATAAACTGTTTTATATTTTGCTTGCCAAAAAACCCCCCAAAAAGAACGTTTTTGAACATGCAGAACAAATTAAACGCTGAAATCACAAAACCGATTAGGTCTCAGGTAGCATTATAAAAAAAACAACCCAAACCTGTATTTAGAATGGTACTTTCTACCAAAAAAGCTAATCCAAGAACAACAAGTTTCACAGGCAATCAGTATGGCTTTTGTAGTCACATGGTTTTACACTAACAACAAAATTACAACACAATTTTAAATTACTTTCTTTTTTAAATTAAGCTTGTTTCCATCCTCAGTATCAATTCTTTCATTCAGTATCTGTTTTATCCTCCAAACCTCCTCCTTGAATCTAATTAAACTTTTCTGATTTATAAAACTGTGGATTCCTATAACTGGTATATTTTCCCAATCTCTTTGAAATGGCCAGATTGGAAATATAAACACTGCTCTTCTACTTATTTAAACAGAGCATTGTACAGATTTCAAACATTACTCACCGAAGAAAGTGAATACACAGAAAAGACAATATAGAAAATCACATTGTCTCCTCTTTAATGACCTAGTTAGAAAAAATCCTGGGAATGAAGATGGCAGTTACAAATCAAACTATAGCAATTTGTCATAGCCATGTTAATATTTTTATTAAAGCAAGACACGTGAAAAACAACTACTGAATATAAAATGTATTCTAGAATTGCAGTTAAAAAAGAAGTGACTTTGGTTAAGTTGCCTAACTATCAGGCTTCGAAATTTCAACTACTGAATGAACTGCCTGTAAGAACATTTAGCAAAAAAGCCTGCATTTAATATGTCTGACGGCTGCTTTATGTTGTCTTTTTCAGATTTCCTCTATAGAGCTTATTTTTCACAAAACAGAAAAGAGAAAAAAAATTTACAGAAGTAGCAAGTTTTCCTATCACAAAAATTTACATGAAATTCACAGTGGTTTTACATAATATTTGCAGTAAGGCTATTTCAAGGCAACAGTCACCCATCAAATAGGTTTAGATGTGCAGTTTTGTAAAAGATGTTTTAAAAAAGGTAAAGAGTAAGTATTTCCATAACTGGGGCCAAAAATCTAGCAATGTAATTGCACTCTTATTGCATACTGCTGAATCAAATCCAGGCAATTATTAGCAAATAAATTGCATATTTCCTTTATTTAATTCGAATTTCAAGGCAAGAACTAATGTGGGGGGGGACAGGGGAGCCCACAAACCAAAATAAAGACAATGAGTCACAAAAACTCTAAGTCGTTCTTGTATTCCAGTAGGAAAACAAAACTCTAGTACCAATTCTGCAAAACCAGGTGCTGAATGATTACTTATATTAATTGCCCTATGAAGAAAATTAAATTCCTCATATGTAGTAGCATCACGCACAATCTGAAGTCCTCACTTCAAGAAAAGTCACATTAATAAGGTACATCTGGGAAAATCCAGGGTAAAAGTGTTGAGCATTTTCATCACTATTTCCCGTTACCACTCCTAATTACTCAAAACAGAGAGCTCGCCCCTCTCTAACTAAAGAGCTCTTCCTCAGTGATGTGTCTTATCAAGCAATATAAGTTCCTCTTCCAACAGTCCTGTTATGCACTTAATTAACTGGGTTTATGACATACTGATGTTTCAAAAACAAGAAGCCTTCCAGCTCTACACAAATTCATGCTGCTCAGTAATTGACTGGGAAGGCGCTCATAGAAGTGTATTTTTTGCAACATGAAGAACTAACTTTTAGTCACCTAGATGATAGATCCTAAGAAAAAAAGGACCATTTGGGAAACTCATGAAAGCTACTTAAATACATTTTCAAAAGAATTCTGGGAACTTCAGAACAATAGTACAAGTTACAAAATATATTTACGGAAAACAAAAAAAAAAGAAAGAAAACAACTGAGTCTGAGGACTAGTTTCTCAAGTAGTTTTCAAGTCTATTCCTCCCAGAGCTATTATTTTAAATGGAATGCCAAACAAGTGGCATGAAAATGAAAACACTGTCAGCATAATTTCCCTGTAGTAGACAGTAAGAAAAAATATTTACTGCATCCAGTAAGAAAAAAACCCGAAACCCAAGACAACCACACACTGGCACTGCAAGTTGTTTCACTTAATACAGTAAATACAGCTATTTCAGTTAACGCAGTAAAAATCAAATAAACAGCACAGAATTATGTTTCACACACATACTTCACCCCCTCTTTTCTAAATAGTATTGGCAGCCTGAACAGTTTTAACACAGAAAATTTCTCAAAGTAGAGCAAAACTTCACATTGTTTCTACATACTACAGAAAAACACTTTCTCCAATTAAAACATTGCTTATTTGCTACTTATTCCCAAACATGCCATGCTTAGAAACTGTTTCAGAGAAAAGTGAAGGTATGCCCATTTTCCCTACTTACATAGCCCTACGTATAGCTTCCAAATGCTAACAAGTAGGCATAAAATCTCTTCACAGCTGCGGGAAGCCTTTAAACTCTACTTTTTAAATCAAACACAAATGACAGACCTGCACGCTCCCTCTGTTGCTCTCTTTGCGTCAGAGTGAAGCCTGACAAGCCTGACAGACTCCATTTGTGTTCCCCCCCCTCCGTGTTTTACCACTGTCATTACCTTTTCTCCCTAGCGATTAGAATTAAAGAACAGGAGGAAGGCACCGTGTCTTTTCTATTATGCTCTCCCGCAAAAAAAAAAAAAAAAAAAAAGCACATCGCACTGGAAGCACAGGCGCTTAGCTTAGTCATTGCAACACACACCCCGTCCTCCCAGCCTCGGGCACGGACCGGGGAGATGCTGCAGCTCGGCCGTTCCCAGCCTCGGCTCCTCCAGCGCGGGGTGACACAGATGTTGCGAGGAGAGGAGAAAAGGGTGGTGGTGCCGCTGGCTCCGGCGGAGCGGCAGCCCGCGGTCGGGAGGCACCGGCGGCTGCGGGAGCCTGGGGCACAGCAGAGGCTGCTCGACGGCGGGCCGCCGCGGCCCGGCCCTCCCCTCCCCTTACCTTCCGCCACGTCCTCGTCGATAGCCCCCTTCACCTGGGAGAAGCACCACTGGAAGTCGTTGCTGCCGCCGCCGCCGCCTCCACCTCCAGCCACCCCTGGAGAGGGGAAGAGAGAGGGCGGTGGGTGAGGGGAGCGGCTGCCCCGCGGAACCCCACGCCGACCCCCTCGGCCCCCGAGCCCGGCCCCGGCCCA